GTTTAAAGCCTTCTCCTGTTCATTTTGTTTAAGGTGAGGACAAAACATTCTGTAGAATTGAAAATTTTCCATTTTTCAGCTTACAGTTGTAATTGGTTAGGACACTGAATATGCCATTTTCTTTATATTGAGAACTATACTAATTAAAATGTACAATGTCTTGTACCTAATTCTTAAGATTTCCATAATCCTGTTTAAGATCTGTTTTACTCAGGAGCGTATCGAATTTAGATTTTGAACCTCAAGGGAGATTTCGTAACCAAGCAGTTAGCTCAGCATTTCAAATGAACGAGAAACTGCATTGCTCCACTTATAAAATGGATCAATGCATTTTCTGGGCATCTAAATTTTGATTTAGGAGTTGTATCATTTGAAGAAATATGATTTGAGAATGTTAAAAATCATGTGTGAGGAGTATGGCTTTGGGTTCATTTGTGATCCAAAAATTTCCGACAGTTAAAACTTTTGAGAAGTGGATTTTTTTTCTTATGTTTCCATTTAAACACATTTGCATACTGTTGAACTTAAAATTTCAAATGAAGCAGCAGTATAGGGCAGCGTTTGAAAAGGTATGTAGGTTAAGAAATGGATTGGACTCTGAGGGATGGCAGTCTCGCACAGATTGCTTGACCATGGTAGCTCCATGGTTGAGGGGAGATTCTGCTCTGGGCAACCTTAGATATGCAGAGCCATGCTTCCATTCTGATTTTAAAAAAAAAACAAAAGAAATGTCGATGCTGTAAATTGAAAACAAAGTAAGTTGCTGGTAAAGCTCAGTAGGTCTGGCAGCATCTGTGAAGAGAAATCAGGGTTAATGTTTCGGGTCTGCTGACCCTTTGTCAGAACTGGGTTAACTCTGATTTCTCTTCACAGATGCTGCCAGACCTGCTGAGCTTTAAGTAATGGAATTATTTATTTCTGCTGAGAACAACTACCCTTGCATATCTCTTGTAGGATGTCAAAACAGTTGGAAATGAAATTATTTAACCATTTGCTTCTTGGACAGTACTAACATAACATTCTAATTGTTGATTAAAATAGGCACATTTTGTTGAATCTTTTTGTCTAGACTCATCAGGACAATTGGCAAGAATACTAATTCAAGTGAAAAATCAATATTTATGCTGCAAGAGATGGCAGAACTTAATAGTTAGTAAGTGGATTCTGATTGGTAGAGGCATTAGCCAAGATAATACACAAATTAATGATGTGGTCATGCAAGGTTAACTGCCGGACTTTGTTGCCAGGTATGTAGGCCAGACGTCCTAAGCTGTGGTAGAAAGTGTTAAAGCGCGTTCCCTTCATCTTTTCGCATAAAGCAAGATACTGACTGGACCCAACGCACCACATTTTCAAAGTTCACAGCATAGTGTCCAGCAATAGATCTGATTCTGCAATTGGACAATGTTTGCTGATGAGACCATAAGATATAGGAGCAGAATTAGGTCATTTTGCCCAGTGAGCCTGCTCCACAATTCATTCATGGCTGGTGTGTTTCTCAACCCCATTCTCCTGCCTTCTCCCTGTAACCCTTGATCCCCTTACTCATCAAGAATTGATCTATCTCTGTCTTAAGGACGCCCAATGACTTGGCCTCCACAGCCTTCTCCAGCAATCAGTTCAACAGATTTACCACCCTCTGGCTGAAGAAATTCGTTCTGGTCTCATTTTTTTCACTTGCGTAGAAACTGATTATTGGGCATCAATGAAACTAGTAAATGGCTTTGTTTCAAATGGAGTACATGCCCTGATTAAATAAGCTTCTTGTTGTTCTTAACCCATTTTCAATGGTATAAATAAAGTTTCATCAAGGAACAGCTTGCAATACGTTGGCCTGGAATTTCTTAAAGGGTTATCCCTTCACGCTGGGACTATGTTGTAGGGTCCTAGTCTATCCTACTGATTTGAAACATCATCTTCATGTCCACTCTATCCAGACCTCTTGGTATTCTGTAAGTCTCAATCAAGGGGACACGAACACCAATTGGCTACAAAAAGACACTACCAATACTCACTCATCTCTATCCACATGGATAAGGAGAACCACCAATTCGATTGGGATGACACCAAGATCCTGGGACAAGCAAAGCGGAGACAGGCACGGGAGTTCCGAGAAGCCTGGTACTCCACAAAGAAAGCCATCAACAAACACATAGAACTCGACCCCATATACACTCCACTGCGAAGGAAAACCGGAAGTGAGGTAATCCAACTTAACAGACTCCAGAGTTTAAAAACCAGGCGGGAAAACACAACGGCGCTTCATCGGAGGCTGCATTGATGATGTTACCCAGCAGGATAATGAAACGTCTGCAGAACAACAACAAACCAGCTTGGCGAGCCAACCAACCACAACTGCTGTGCTTTTCCAGCCTCTCACCTGTAGACTTGGGCTTCCAGCATGTGCAGTCCTTATTGTCTCCACTACCTGTCCCTCCACCCATTTTTGTGTCATCTATAAACTTAGCAACAATGCCCCTCAGTTCCATCATCCAGATTGTTAATGTATAACATGAATAGTTGTGATTTCAACAAGGACCCCTGAGGAACTCCACTTGTCATTGTCTGCCATCGTGAAAAAGACATCTTTATCCCTGCACTCTGCCTTCTGCCAGTCAGCCAATCCTCTGTTAATGCTCCATAAACATGGCTTCTTTATCTTATTTTGCAGCTTCTTGTGCGGCACCTTGTCAGAGGCCTTTTGGAAAGCTAAATAGATCATGTCCACTGGCTCTCCTTTGTCCATGTTGTTCATTACCACCTCAAAGAATTCTAATAAAGTTGTCAGTCATAACTTCCCCTTGATGCGGCCATGCTGACTCAACCCTATTTTATCATTTATTTCAAAGCACTCTGCAATCTCATCCTTTAATAATAGACTCTAAAATCTTGCCAAAGGACAGAGGTCCGGCTAACTGGCCTAAAATTTCCCGTCTTCTGCCTCCCTCCTTTTTTAAACAGGGGTGTTCCATTAGACATTTTCCAGTTCTCTGGGATGACCTTGAGTGGGTGAGGAATTGAACACACAACTAATTTAGAGTTGTATACTGTAAGCTTTACATATTAATACACAGAGCCCTGTTCTTTACATACAGAAAAAACATGCACACGCAATGCATTGATTTTAATCAATGATGAGCCAAGCGACTAGCATTTGCTGGCTAGTTTCTCAGGATGATGTCCTGACCAATCAGGGTGAACATGCCTGGTTTCATTTCTAAACAAAGCCTGATAGTTGACTGTCATCATTAACTGGTGCATTCTCCATGGTAATGCATCCATCAGTCAGTCTACATGCCAACAAATCAGCACACTCTTCTCCTACTGTATAAATATTGGTTCTGTGTATTATGAATTCTTTTGATGAATGCAAGAAAAGAAACTTCAACAGGATGTATTTTCCCAAGCATTAGTTGAGTTCTGGTCTACCAAATGATTATTTTAATCATTGGCCATTAATATTACCAGCCTCCTATTCATTTGTTGAATTAGATAGCAAAAGACATTCGAAGATTACCAAGGATTTTGTGTAGATCTATAATTCAGCACAAACACCAGTGTCTACCTTTCCCTTCTGGACCTTTTCCGTATCCAGAAGCCAACTCCAAACTGGGGAAGAACCCAGCTCTTAAATACCAATACCCATGGAGCATTGTCAGCTCTCAATCAACCCTAGCGCTGTTCCGGTTGACCCCTAAAAGGGAGGTACATTTGTAACACTGAAAATGAGGAAATCCCTGAAAGTGGGCAGTACGTTCTCTGCAACAAATCAGTTTTGAATTGGAATGCCCGTACAAGAATGGAAACGTTAATGCAACTCGTTGTATTTCTGAACCATCCCTCTTTCAGGCCTGAGATGGTGTTGTGTATGTCAAGGGAGGTTTCTGTAGTGCATTCTCTGGTTACTCTGTGTATGAAAGCTATACTTCTGGTTCTCATTTTGGATGGTAAATTATGTCCTGTTGATTAACCTGTAGCTCTTCATTTTAGATTCCAACATAGCTTTAAACCAACTGTCTGTAAGGGTGAGTTAAAATATCAGTGAAATGGAAACAGAAGCAATATACTTGTCTGTTATGATTTGTGTGTACCTTGCTATAAAGTTGAATAAATTTTCAGAAGAGCCAAAACTGTATTTGTAAAGTAATAGGACATCTGAAATATAACGGAATCTGATGATTTCTGGTGAGAAAATATGCTTGTCATGCCCAAAATCCATAAAGTGTTCCGTTCTCTTTAAAATAAATTTTTTGCACGGTATTGTAAAAGCATTTTTTGGATTTTCAACAAATAGGATTTTAATATCCTCAATTAGCAGCCCTTTTTCCTCAGCAGTGGTCTTGTTTTCAAGAAATTTCCGCCAGTAAACACCATATATGGGATATCCACTTGTTGTTTTGTTGACTTGTTTTAAACACTGATGTGTTGGAATCTAACCAATCAGATGGAATTTAACCTTCTTCCATCCGGGAATACAATTAATACTCCGCCAGCATTGATCCATTTGAAGTCATGAGCACATCAAATTTGATGGGATCCCATCCAGACATATAATTAGTGTGCTCATACAACAATAACCAAAATCTCATGTGCATCCAGCCTTTTCTGGAGAGATGCTAAAACCTTAACAATCTTGTATTCTTTCACAGTCAATCATGGAAGTATATCACTCTGAAATTAGTAACAAAAGCATCCTTTCTGCCTGTTGATCAGAGACCACTGTCTGAATAATTGATCACAAATAACCCAATAAAATCTGTGCATTTGCAATATTATGCTTTACTGAACTGAATTAATTGTAAGCAAACTTATCTGGTAAAATATGATCACATGTTCTGATGCAACCTGACCAGAACTTGAAATTAATACCAAAATTTGCTGCTACAAGTAATCTTGCAATTGTTAAGTACTGTAATGCCATCTTTGTGCCATGGTTGGCAGACTATTGTGAAGAATGACAAATGATCACTAATGTGAAATGTTAATCTGCTTTGTTTCAGCTTTGTGCAACTGATAAAACACTGGACTTTGATCGAGATTTTCGCATTAAGCACTATGCTGGGCATGTTGTGTAAGTTTGAAAGTGATGGTGTTGAAATTATCTTTCCCATAGGGCACCAGTCATGTTCCCTTTTATTCTTCCTATAGCAACTCCAATAAACTGCTAATATCTAGTTCTTGGAGCCAACACTGCTGTTAGCACTGTTGCCTCAGCACCAGGGACCTGGGTTCGATTCCATCCTTGGGCGCCTGCCTGTGTGGAGTTTGCACATTCTCCCCATGTCTGCGTCGGTTTCCACGGGGTGCTCCAGTTTCCTCCCACAGACCAAAGATGTGCAGGCTAGGTGGATTGGCCATGCTAAGTTGCCCATAGTGTTCAGGGTTGGGTAGATTAGGTGGGTTATAGGGGGATGAGCCTGGGTGGGGTACACTGAGGGTTGGTGTGGACTTGTTGGGCCAAAGGGCCTGTTTCCACACTGTAGGGATTCTGTGATCTTCTTTGATCTATGAACACTGAATGCCATCAGTGTGAGCGTAGCAAGCATGATGTCCATAAATATCAGCTCAGTAAGTCATGGCAGTATGCATGCAACTAGAACCTAGGCTCTGGAATTCTTTCTGAATCTCTCGGCGAACGTATTTCTTTCATCCTTCAAGAAGGCAGAGGTTACTAACAATTAGACTTGAAGCATCGTGACCATGAGGCAGGGTGGATGAACTAAGTTAGGCAAACAGGAAGCTGGAAGAACACAGCCAGCCAGGCAGCATCTGGAGGAAAGGAGAACTCAGCATTTCGGGCGATGACGTTCTTTAGTCCTGAAGAAGGTTAAGACCGGAAATGTTGATTTCTTCTTTCCTCCAGTTGCTGCCTGGCTTTGTGTTCTTCCAGCTTCCTGTTTGTCTACCTTGAATTCTAGCATCTGTAGTGTTTTTTTTGTTTGTTTCTAACTGGATTAGCTAAGTGCCTGACATTTTTAAGTGTTCATAAATTTATTTTCCCCCCCCCTGCCCCCACAACCCCGTAAAGATATTCCGTAATTGGCTTCATTGACAAGAACAAGGATACTTTATTCCAGGACTTCAAACGGCTAATGTACAACAGGTAGGACTGTGGAAAAAATCTATTGATCTCAAAAAGAGGGGAAATGAATTACTGCAGCCAGAGACAGTGTTGTGGCATATATTGAGCCCAATCTTTGCATAAATCATTGTTTTAATACATGGCTGCAAACATATTTTGTAATCAATGTATGAAAGTTTGCAACTGCCTTGTTGATTACTTCATTCTCTACTGAAAGTTATGTTGAGCAGTCTGCTAACCCCAAATAAAAGGAACTTTACTCACAGAAATAGAAGTGTTCACAAATGAACAAATATTTCACAAATATAGTGAGAGGTTAGTTCGAGGGGCTGCTACATAATTAATCTGTGCGCTTTTTCTTATTGAACAAAATATTTGTACCAATTTCGTTTTGCGTATCTGAAGCAGGGTAACAAAATCACCCACTGGAATTGACTGGTTCTCTGCCTGTAGAGTTACATCAATTGAAAGTAATTTATTTTGAATCGTTAACAAAGATGTTTTTCCTACTGAAATAGCATACTTTCACCTGAAGAAAACAAGTTTTCTAAGGTTGACTTTACTTATTTTCGTAATTCTCGCTTTTTAACGGTAACTGAGTGTGGGCTTGACCACTGATGGGCTCGTGCAGCAGATCCACCTGCATCCACACAGCTTTCATGGTTGTCTTTGCAGCTTGGTAACTCAGTCATATTTTGGTTTTGGTTGCCCTGGGTCCACCACCTGTTGTCCGCCCCGTGGGAGGCCGGGGCCCCAAATATCCCTGACCTCACTCCATCTTGGAAGACAAGCCTGGACACGTCAGTCGATGTCTAGCGTCTGCAGAGGTGCAGCACCATCTCCAGCTTGAAATTGGTGGATGCTGAAGCAATGGCACTTGTGGCAGCAGGAAAGGAGCATGTTGCTAGGACCCCAGGAATGATGTTGGACAGCGGCGACTAGAGGAGCACAGAGGATGAAGGAGAGGGAAAGATGAACTTCTGAAGTTATTTCAGATCTAGTAATTAAGTTTAATATTAATTCAGTATTTAACCATTTGTACAATTTATTCAGTAATTTATTCTGTAATCCAAGATGGTGCTGCAACGTGGTGATGTTATATACTTTTCACTGTACTGAGGAACAGGTGACAATATTAAATCGACATCTAAAAATCTATGAAAATGAAACAATCAATCAATTCCATGACTATCCCAGTTTTTATTTAAATGTTAAATGTATAAATCTAAGATTGCCTTCTATGATTCTTCAGCAATGCCACAAAATCTACTGCCCACCAGTAACTTTAAATATAGATATTTAATTTTAACAGAGAAATTGACATTGTAATTACACAGTATTCTAGAGCTGAAGTGGCATGTGCCACGGCTGTCTGGCACTCTTGGCCACTGTTATAGGACTCAGACTTGTGTGCCTAGTTCTCAAGTGGTGAGTTCAAGGTGGTTGTTCTACTATGGCCGGGGTGGGAAAATGGGAGCGAAGTATTTCCCTGTAGCAAAGTTGGAACAACAAGATGAGTTGTATCTGGTGTTAACTCTGAACTGAAGGTAGAAGTAGGACGCTTTCACATACCCCCAAGTGGAATATGTACCCATCACATAGAGATCGACAAAAGTGAAGTGAGACAGTTATAATTACCATGAAGGTAAACTAGTCAGGCTATGCTCAGGATTTATCTTTCGTTCAAATTTTTGTTCCATATACAAACAAAGTCTCTAGGTCCAAGCAAGATGAAGAGTTGGAATACACATTTGGCAGAATAGCTGAGTGATCTGAACTGGTAAACTTAATGAGTGCTAATCGTGGCCATGCAAAGGACTGGTTAATTATTTGCTGATGATACTAAATTTGGAACTGTTGCATAATATTGATTAATTACAATGGGAAATATATAGGCTATCAAAGTATTTAGAAAGTGGCAGATGAAATTTGATACAGAATGTGGGTGGTGTGCCTTTTGGCAGAAGGGCTATGGACAGACTATGAATCTCAAGGAATAGTTCTGAAGCATATGCAGGACAATGCTGACCAAGGGTTTATGTACAAAGGTCATTGTCGGTGACAGGACACAGAGTAATTAGGAAAACATATGGTAATTGGAGTTTCTCAAGTTGAGGCATTGAGTATAAGAGCAGGGACGTTTTACTGAACCTCTATAAAGCTTTGGTTAGGAAACAACTACAATGGTGCATTCAGTCTGGTCTCCATTACAGGATGGACAGAATCATTCTTGAGGTACCAGAGATTTTCCAGAATGGCTCCAAAAAGAAAGACTGTGGCCACAAATTAACCTGGAGAAATTGAGATTGTTCTCTGTGGGGCAAAGGAGGTTAAGGAGTGATTTGGTAGAAGTGAGGAAGACTATGACAGGTTTAGATGAAAGGAAAAAATTGGTTTTTGTTGGTTGATAGTGCAAGGAGTAGGAGGTCACAGATTGGAACAGAACAGTGAAATTCTGGCACAAAGGGTTGTGGTGAAAAGTGAGTCATGTGAAGAAAAGAGTTCTAACATGACTTGAATGAAAATGAAGGAGAGTTCTAATGTCAGTTGAGGCAAGATGATGGAGAGTGATACCACTCTACTTTTAGGAAGGGAGAAACATTTACTTTAAAACAATTCTGTTTTCCAAAAATTAGAATTGCAAACAGATTGAATAGCAGAAACTTGCTGCACATCTCAAAAATCAATTTTTTTTTTTTGGTGGGAAGTTAGATTTAAAACAATTGATCATTTTGGCACTTTATTCCATGTTATCCTATGATTCAAGCCTCATCAAGGGAATGAAATTGGTCTGTGACTGGGCTATATACTGTGCAATATTCCTTGGTTTATTTTTGTTATTAAAACATTTTCTTCAATCTCACTAACAATTGACTGAATTAATTTTTGAGCAGTTGTTTTGAATGTAAACATTTTTTCTCAAATGAAGGTTATTAATGTAGGGGTAGTAGCATTCAATGCTTCAATCAGTCAAGAAAACATATGTTTATACAATAGGCACTGAAACACTTGTTCACCTGGCAGAAAGGATTTGAAAGAAAGTTGGCTAAAAGGTGAATGTAGAGTTTCTGGTAGTGTTTCTTTTGGAATCTTTTAGCAAATCCATATTGTTTGACCTGGATTCCAATGCTCACATTGGGTAGCAAATGGTTGAGCCATTATTAATGAACCAGCAACAATATTATATGTATAGCTGATTAATTATGAACATAATATAATGAGATAATAAAACTGTTAGAATAATCTATAATTGGCACATTAGATTTTTAAATTAATCTGACTATATCAGCCAACTTTCTTTTTGCCTCATTTGACAATAGTGTAACTCTCAAAGTGTGTGAAGTATGTGCTGTCAATGTAGATTGCCCTTGCTTCATCCTACCATGTTTAAAAGTTTTGATTGATAATTAACTTTGTACTTCACCAGCTCAAATCCTGTGCTGAAGAATATGTGGCCGGAGGGGAAGCTCAGCATCACAGAAGTGACTAAACGGCCTTTGACTGCTGCCACTTTGTTCAAATCCTCCATGATTGCATTGGTAGAAAACTTGGCATCAAAAGTAAGTCGATTATAAGCTTAAATGTTTAACATTCTCACTTCACCTCATTTCTCTATCTTAGTGATGTACATGGAGCAGTTTATGCAGTAAAAATCAACTCGCCAATTGTCATTGTCTTACAGTCGTAGAATTTTACAACATGGAAACAGACCCTCCAGTCCACCTCATCCATGCCGTCCAGATATCCTTAATTGATCTAGTCCCATTTGCTAGCATTTGGCCCATATCCCCCTCAACTGTTCCTATTCATATACCCATCTAGATACCTTTTAAGTATCATAATTGTACCAGCCTCCACCACATCCTCTGGCAGCTTGCACCACCTTCTGCGTGGAAAAAGTTACCCCTCGGGTCCCTTTTAAATCTTTGCCCTCTTACCTTAACCCTATGCCCTCTAGTTTTGGACGCTGCTATCTTGGGAAAAAGACCTTGGCTATTCACCCTATCCATGCCCCTCATGATTTTATATGCCTCCATTAGGTCACCCATCAGCCTCTGACACTCCAGAGAAAATAGCCTCAGCCTATTCAACCTATCGCTCAAACCCTCCAATTCTGGCAACATCCTTTGTAAATCTTTTCTGAACCCTCTCAAGTTTAATAACAATTTCCTAAAAATAGGGAAACCAGAATTGAATGCAGCGTTCCAAAAGTAGTGTCACCAGTATCCTGTACAGCTGCAACATGACATCCCAACTCCTAATCTCAGTGCACTGACCAATGAAGGCAAGCATGCTGAACGCCTTCTTCACCACTCTGTCTACCTCTAACTTCAATTTCAAGGAACTACAGACCTGCACCCCTAGGTCTTTGTTCAGTATCACTCTCCAGACCGTACTATTAACTGTATAAGGCCTGCCCTGATTTGCCTTGCCAAAATGCAACACCTCACACTTGGCTAAATTAAACTCTAACTGCCATTCCTTGGCCCATTTGGACCATCTGATCAAGGTCCAATTGTCTTTAATTTTGGATTTTTTTTTAAATGAATGATATTTGTTCCCTTTGATTAATTACAATATCCAAAAAGAAACAGTATTGACATTTGCTAGAGCCTAGTTTGACTTGTTTAATTTGGGTCCCACAAATCAAACTAACGTTGTAGCTGTTTTTACTTATAAATCTGCAATCCTCCATTTCAAAGATGACAACAAATGGATGGAGAAAGTACATAGTTCCAACCCTTAGACATTGGAGAGAGTTGCCAAAAAGGCTATGGGTCCTGAAAGTACATAGGAGGAAATATTCTCCATCAGAGAAGGACCACTGTTCCTTAGCCTGAGCTCCAAAGTCAATGTCATACAAACATGATAATTTTAAAGGCTTCATTAATCTGTTTAAAGTAAATGGGTTCCTGCCTTCAGCAAGTTAGTGCACATCGCCAGTTCAGTTCACGTGCTACTACTGACATGGTTTCCTACGGTGAGGAAACTATAATCTATGTTAAAGTAGTGCAGTTTATTTATGCGGAATTTGGTTTTTGCTTGCTTACTTATCATACTGTCTATCTTCTCCAGCTGAAAGAATGGTGGTAGGTTGATATCTCAGGATCAGTCACCACATATGATGCTCCCTATTGAGTTAATAGCACTGTGGCATAGGTTACAGATTAGACAGATCTGTACCTTTACGACAAAACATGAACTTGTGGCATGTTGCATTCTGGTATAAAGATACCTGCCTCTCCTTCAGTCCTTCTGTGTCATGGATCTGTATAGTATGTTCAGCTAGTCAGTTTTATGTTAATAACAGCAAGCACATAACAGTCTCTGCAAATCTGTGCTATCGTAAGCATGTAAGTAGACAGTGTTGTAAATACAACTTGAGACTCCTGCTTAACAAACGTAGAAACACAGAAGATAGGAGCAGGAGGAGGCCATTGGGCCCTTCGAGCCTGCTCTACCATTCTTCACTAGCATGACTGATCATCCAAATCAATAGCCTAATCCTGAGTTCTCCCCATAACCTTTGATCCCATTCACCCCAAGTACTGTATCTAGCCGCCTCTTGAATACGTTCAATGTTTTGGCATCAGCTACTTCCTGTGGTAACGAATTCCACAGATTCACCACTTTTTGGATGAAGAAATATCTCCTCATTTCCATCCTAAATGGTCTACCTCGAATCCTCATACTGTGACCCCTGGTTCTGGACACACCCACCATCGGGAACATCCTCCCTGCATCTACCCTGTCCAGTCCTGTTAGAATTTTACATATCTCTGAGAAACCCCCCCACCCCCACCATTCATCTGAACTCTAGCGAAAACAATCCCAACCTTGTCAAATCTCTCCTCATACTCTCCATGAGCCAATATATAAGAAACAACAAACTATTTAGTGGTGGCAGCAAATGGGCTCTAGAACAAGTTATGAACACTCGATAGTGGCATTAAGTAGTAATTAAAGGCTGAAAAGGTGACAGTGGGAGCATTATTTTTCTGTCAGTTATCCGTTTATCTTTGAGTTCAGAGCTGAAGTCACAGGTGTACCCAAGATTAAAGTACTAAAACTAAAGGCTACAAACCTGTACAGAAGCACAGTGAGTTGTTCTTCTACTTTCTCTCGCATACTTAAACAGGCAGTTTAGAAGAGGCCAGGGCAACTCTGATTTTATAAAGGCAATTTAAAAGTGCTCAAAGATAGCCACAATCAAAGAAAGTGATCCTGGAATAAAATGCAGATAAAAACAGTAAAGTAAATTATGTATGAAAGAGGCTTTACCTGTGTCCAGATGTTGGTCAGTTCTTTTCAGTTACACTTTATGAAAAAAATGTAAAAAAAATTTAAGTTCATTGTGGTGTCATCTCTGCTTTCTTCATGGCATGAACATCTATAGCACAAGCAGCAACATTTAAAGGGCAGCAATTTTTTTTCTGCGACAATAATAAAAGGCAAAGCCAACTAAGCAAAACAGGATAAACAGTACCCTGCAATATAGATTATTACACTGGCTTTTTAAGAGTGTAAAGCCACGAAAAGCTGGAGTACAAATATCATACTATGGGCTGGTAACCATCAACATTCTGTCAAAGCATTGGTTGTTTGAAGAAAGAATCTGTCTCTGTTATAGACCAGCAAATAGCTGACAAAGAGTTACAAATAGTCAAACTTCATCTCATTTTGGGCACCAAAAGGTTAAGAACAACAAACTCCCCCATTATTTCTGACAACGACCACAAAGACCCCGATAAAGTTTTTCAGGATTTTAGAGCATCCATTTACATTTAGATTAATTTCAAGATGCAGAGGCTTGAGTTCATGTGATACTTATGACAGCCAGATAAAACAATCAATCAATTCATAGGCAGGTGTCAGTGCAAAGGAACAGGATGTGATTGAGCTGAACCTAACTCGGCTGAAATATTTATGTATCTGATCATTGTCTCTATACCATGAAATCCTTCAGAAATGCACTTTTGGACAAACCCACATAAGGCATCATTGACACACTTTTTTTGAAAGCTTGAAACAGTTCTGGCAGGCCAGCAGCATCTGCAAGCACTTGATTCTGTAATACTGTCACAGCAGCTGGCAGATTTGGTAGAACCTCCAAATATTGAGATGTGGCTTGTCTCCCACCAAGACCGAGCCAGCATTTCATGATGTGTGCAAGCTGTGTTCCAGGAGTGGACATTGTCAATTGGATTTCTTCCACATTTTAGCCCAGAGCAGCACCAAATACAACACAATGCTCCACAGCAGCTTGTGAAGAAGAGCCAAGCAAGGAACAATGCCAGAGAAACTTCTGTCTATGCCACACAAGCATATTAACAAGGTTCAAGGAGTAACTGCAACATTACAGCATGTAGACCTCAATCAGACAGTACTTGTGATAAACCTGCTATATCAGGTGGACAATCAGGAAGCACTGAATCCTTTATCCCCACCTAAGTCAAATATCCCAACAGGAATGGACATTTCCCATTGTTACCAAAATTGACAGTGGTTTTAGGGCAAATATCATGCCTTAACACAACTTACATGAGTTGTTTTCCAGAAACTGACAGAACATAGTGCATTCAACACAAAATGAATTAACTGCTTACAACTGGCCTGACATCCTGTGTAGTGGCATCATCCATCTTACATGTTAGTGTGGTCCTTGGGATGAGCACCTCAGCTTTATATTGTTGAATCAGATGGACTATCTACCAGGTCTATGATATGCATCGATCTACTTATTATCATGATCCACAGGTGACAAATCAGTTAGTTGTAACACCAAAGATTCCAGACCAAAATGTCAATCTCGTATATTTTTGTTATTTGCGGAGCAGAGTTGATTCAAATGATGACCAGATGCAACAGCTGAAAAAGATTCTTAGCAGGTGGTCTGAATGAAGAGTCTTTCAGCTAGTGCATTCATTTTGCTCATTGAGAGATGAGTTAGATCTCTCCTAGAATATAAACTTTAACACCAAACAAGTTTGTAATTCTGCAAGCTCCACATTGAAACATGCTAGACAGTATACATTTAGGTCACATAGATGAAGAGGAAAAAAAAGACTGGCATGTGAATATACATATTGACCTGGGATTAATAAGGACATCAATCAACATGTCAATTCAATTAACCTCATCAATCTGTTATGATCTTTTTTATGTTATTATTGGACAGACCAGATCCCAGACTGTCTTGTTTGATGGATCATATTTTGCTTGTTTTAGTTTTAACAAGGTGGTCTCACTCTGAGTGAAAGTGTGCAACATTGCAGATTTAGTTCTAACAATAAAACAAACTTATTTCACAAATAAAATATAGTAAGCTAAAACTATTTTGCACATTACAAATTGAGAGATTTTGAAGCACATGGTAAAATATAATCCAAGAGTCATATCAGATTCTCAATATTAATTCTGTATTTCTCTCCACAGATACTGCCAGACCTGCTGAGTTTCTCCACCATTTTCTGTGTTTGAGTTCCAGCATCCACAGTATTTTGTTTTTAAATCATCAATAAACATGTAAGCAGCCATCCTGACTTGAACCAGGACAAAA